CTTCTACATACTTAAAAAAAAAACACCCTGAATGGAGGGAAATTTTAATGACGAGTATCACATGTCCATTCCTTTATTGTTAAAAATTATGTCCAGCTTTGCTTTTGCAGTTTTCCCGTCTTCAATTAGGTAACTTTCTTAAACTGCAATTGGAATGTAAATAGTTTGGCACTGGTAGTACTTGAGAGAAGGCCTTTTTGGTAGCAAAAGCATAGGAATGGAATTCATTCCAGAGAGAGAAGAGATTGACACTTTCCTTATTTTCCTTTGCATGGGTAATGAAGATTGTGTTATTCGTTGGGCATTCAATGTTGGACACTCTTAATTTTAATGACAGGCAGAGCTTTCAACAGGCTACTGACTATTAAAACTGGCTCATATCACTTGCAGAACTCACATGCAATTTATGGCATTCCCTACCTCCTACAGAAATTTTCCGATTCAAGGCAACAGGGCTTTCACTTGTGTAAGGGGTACTGAAGAACCCTGTGGTGTTTAGAAAGACACCAAATGATCACACAAATAACCACTGCACAATTGGAGGGAGATTCTGCTCAATGAATGTCTTCAATTTTATGTTACTCTTTTGTTTGTTTATGTGAAATTTTAATGTTTTTACTGTGCAAACATGTTGATGTCTGGAAGTTGGAATGCATGGCTTTTAACTTTAATCAATAAATATAAATAAAGTATGCAAATAAAAATATTTCCGCTGTATTCTCATCTTCTTTTATTCTGATTAATGTGTGGAGGAAGTCACATCGGGTCTTGAATCCTTGGGGATTTTTTTCCTCTGTTCATATGCAGCTTTTCTTCTAAAGGAAAAAAAAATTAAGATTATGGCATCAAAAGAAACACAATTCATCCCCTTTTTAATCAATGTCTCTTGAATGATACCGAGAGAGACAAGAAGACCCTAATTGCAGCATGGACCATGGGAGAAAATGAAATGAAATGAAAAGGTCACACAGATTGTACTCTCTCCACCAAGGGAGGGTCAAGATGGTACTAGAAGCTTGTCATCACCATTTTTCAGACCTATTTGTAGAATAAAAAGACTGAGAAGAAAATTAGCAGAGTGAGACTGATTTGAGACATAAATGAACAGCGTAAGAACTGCCATGTCTGCACAACTTGCATGAACTAATTCAGGTGCAGTGGGAATGATCCCTATAGGAAGCTTGCAGTGGGTTGGAATTCTGAGAGCTGTTGTCAAGAAGATGGCTAAGCCACAGGGCTTAAGCAAGCAGCAGATTTAGTCTCTTTGTACCTTTGTACTTGAAATGCAAGACTGAAGCACTAGATAATTGGTTTAGCTACCACAAGAAACCAAGAGGACTATTTCAGAATGGATGATCCAGATTGTTTAGGCTCCAGACTAGTGAAAATATAGATTTGAGAGGCAATTATTTTATTTTGCACAATCTGAGCTACATTTCTTTTTCTTTTGCCATTTGAGTGCTATGTTATCTATGAAACTGTACTTTATAAATGCATTTCTTCATCCTTTTCCAGCCTATTGAAATTAATTTTTTGATGAATGAATCCCATATATTAATGAGAAGGGAGAGAATAATGGTAGTGAAAAAGATGAACTATAGCAAAATATGTTACTGAGTTTTCCCCATATTTATATTTAAATTAGAAACCCACCAATGAAAGATTGTAACCTGATGGAATTCTAGAACAGTGTGTATCTGTCTCTATTCTCAAAAATTAAAAGGGATGAACATCTGGAAGCCTGCTTACCAGGTCTCAATCTTTGAAGCTCAGGTTTTGGCTTTCAGTCTCTGAATTTCAGGCTTTGCTCTTGATATCTCAGGAAGTGAGATACTGCTGACCCAAGATCAGAAAGTCTGTATGTGAAGTCTATTAATTGTAGGTAGGTTCTTAGCTGAAGTCTTCAGACCATTTCAAATTCATATCAAATAAACACAAACTAATAACAAAACCAAAAGCCACCATTCAACTTACAGAGTTAAAACACTAACATTAATGATACCTATGGATATCCTTCATGGACTGCTGCCTTGTTGTGGCAAAGGGGCTTGAGTAATTCAGAGAAGCTGTGGGCTATGCTGTGCAGGGACACCCAAGACGGACAGGTCATAGTGGAGAGTTCTGACTAAATGCGATACACTGGGAGCAGGAACTGGCAAGCCACTCCAGTATCTTTGCCAAGAAAACTCTATGGACAGAAACAAAAGGCTAAAAGATATGAAGGTTGGAAGATGAGCCCCTCAAGTCAGAAGGCATCCAACATGCTACTGAAGAAGAGCGGATTACAAGTACAAGTAGCTCCAGATCTAATGAAGTGGTTGGGCCAAAGCCAAAAGGACGCTCAGCTGCGGACGTGCCTGGAAGTGAAAGGAAAGTCCAATGCTGCAAAGAAAAATACTGCATAGGGACCTGGAATGTAAGATCTATGAACCTTGAGAGATAGCAAGAAGAAACATTGACATCCTGGGAGTCAGTTAACTAAAATGTGTGGGAAGGGGTGAATTCAGTTCAGATGATTACCTTATCTACTATTGTGGCCAAGAATCTTGTAGAAGAAATTGAGCAGCCCTCAAAGTCAACAAAAGAGTGGGAAAAGCTGTACTGGGATATAATCTCAAAAATGATAGACTGATTTCAATATGAATCCAAGGCAGACCTTTCAACATCACAGTAATCCATGTTTATGCACTGACCACCAATGTTGAAGAGGCTGAAATTGATCAATTCTATGAAGACTTACAACACCTTCTAGAACTGACACCAAAGAAGGATGTTATTCACATTCTAGGGGACTGGAATGCTTAAGTAGGGAGTCAAGAGATAAAAGGAACAACAGCTAAGTTTGGCCTTGGAGTTCAAAACAAAGCAGGGCAAAGGCTAACAGAGTTTTGTCAAGA